TCTGTTCCTTTTTTGAGTTGATATTGCTTTAGGTTTATATGTTAGACTACATTTATAACCAGACTTTAATAAAGCTTTATTATATAGAGGAATAGTATGTTGAAATATTTCTTCGGTAGAAGAATTTGTACACAATCAAAGTTCAACCGAGTGTGGTATTTGTTTTAGTATACTTGGCGGGTGATTTGAATAAGCATGGATATAGTTTAATGTATTATCAGGTTTGAAATAAGGTTTAAAAGTGCAGTCACTAAGATTTAGAGTAACGTCAAGGTAGTTGACAATTTTCATGTTGCATTGTATAGAAATCCGTAAGCCATTTTATTTAAATATTTCGACAATATGCTTTTATTATTTTTTTCATTTAAGGACCGCTTTTATTACTAAAAACTGCCAAGCCATCGTCACAGTATAAACCAACCTCAAACTTGTTATAAAATTTTGAAATTTCGAAAAGAAGAAATATTCCAACCAGCTCACAAACCTCTGCGCCGTCGGATGCTCCCATGGAAACATCAAACAAACCACTTGATTGCTTTATCTAAACCTGATTATTATTGAAAAGCAAAGACTTTCTTGCATGAAAAATGTCACAAATGATTGTGTCGAAAGAAATATCGAAATGATTCAGCAATTTGTTGGCTTATCTCAAAATGAAGAATAACAACAAAATATCCTAATGGTAATCAGACAAAATCGCAAATTAATATCTACTAATATTTCCCTTAAAGAATTAAGCCATCTTTAATAAATGTTAATAAAAAATATTAAGAAAATGTATTTATGCATTTTTTTAATTTTATATACCATTGTTTTTGAAATTATAACACAAAAAACTGGTAAAAATGAGTTATCGGCATAAAAACCCAAGTTTTACATAAAGCTTAGACTTTTGAGTTTAAAATTTATAAACTTCTTAGTGAACATTGAACAGCTTTTTACATAGTGATATTTTAAATTCCGAAAAAAAGTAAAAAGTTTAAAATATTAGGGCCCATTTACAAATGTAAGGAGCTTTTTTTTTTATAGTTATACCTAATGGAAAATATTATATATATATATATATATATATATATATATATATATATATATATATATATATATATATATATATATATATATATATATATATATATATATAGGGTTGCTTGATTATTTGAAAACAGATAAAGAAGTTTTGAAATTGATATTAGATGGATTAAGTCAACCTTTTGATTTTGATCCAAGAGAAGGTTAGTTTTATTATAGAATATTCAGTGTAACTTTTTATACGTATGCGTGCGTGTAAATTTATATATGTATGTGTGCGTGTTTTTAATTATATATGTATGTGTGCGTGTAACTTTATTTATGTATGTGTGCGTGTAAATGTTTAAGTTTAGTTATTTTATTACTTATTTTCTTGTACAATTTTATTTTATTGCTATAAAAAAAGATTTATGACTTTTTGTTATTATTTTGTTTTTGTTTTTCAGGTTTTGAAACGCCGTTATTTAAAACTGGATTAACATCTATGACGATGTTAACGATAGGCTGTATGGTTTCAGGCGCTGTTAGGAACTGCACATCATTTGGAGTATTTGTCGATATAGGAGTTGAAACTGATGCTTTAATTCCAAATCGTTATATGTTGCCAAATGTTTTAGTTGGTCCTGGTGATCGAGTTGAATGCAAAGTTTTAGGTATCGATACCGACAGAAAAAGAGTTTCTCTTACTTTGATTAAAAAACTTTCTCTGGAATTACGTTTGCAATAAAACTATCTCTGGAATTACGTTTACAATAAAACTTTCTCTGGAATTACGTTTGCAATAAAACTTTCTCTGGAATTACGTTTGCAATAAAACTTTCTCTGGAATTACGTTTGCAATAAAATTATCTCTGGAATTACGTTTGCAATAAAACTTTCTCTGGAATTACGTTTGCAATAAAACTTTCTCTGGAATTACGTTTGCAATAAAACTTTCTCTGGAATTACGTTTGCAATAAAACTTTCTCTGGAATTTTTGCAATAAAATAAATGCTATGATTTTGACCGAATGTGTGTTTAAATAATGCATCTTATGTTTCGTAAACTTCTTGAATTTTTTTATTTAAAACTTTGGGCTTCTAGTTCTTTTAAACTATTCGTAAAATAATAATTCAGTTTAATAACTTATTTTTATGTATAACAAATTGTATGGTTCATTAGTTTTTTTTAAGGTAACCTAAACTACGGATTTATTTATTTATATTGACGGACCAGTGACGGCTCCAGGGCGGAGGGTGTGCATCTCCTCACTACCAGAATCTAAAAGTCATAAAATATCTTAGAAATTGAGGACCTTTTTTTTTAGGAGACGCAAATTTGGTACAAAATATAAAAATATTTTAACATAACGACCCACCCCACCCACCTCCCACCACCAAAAATTCTTGGATCCGTCACTACTGCAATGCTTAAATGATTTTAATCTATAATAGCTCGGTTACTTAAGATTAGATTAACTACGCTTTTTAATAAGTTAAGTAAATGCTTTTAAATTATTTTTAAATTTCCATTTTTCTTAACAGTGTTATTCTTGATTATGTAAAAGTTATTTTAAAATGCTGGTTTCATTTTAAGGAAAATTGTCAATGCTTATTTGAAAACTACCAATCTTTAATTATTTGTAAAAATAGTCTTGATTCTTTTTTAGTCGTTTCCAATTGCAGTTATTTTTACATAAGTTTTTCTAACCCGCTCTTCCTATTAAGTTGACATAAAATAAAAACCGTCGATAACAAATTAAATACCGCATCTTTTTTTTTATTTTTTGATCTTTTTACTAAAAATGTAAAACGTTCCAAAATGAGGGTTTTCGAAATTTTCTGAAGGGTAAATGGAAAATGGGAACAATTTTGTTACGGCCCTGCTTATTTAATAATTTGTTCAATGTAAAACTAATCATATAAATGGTGGTACTCAAAGAGCTATGAAAAATGTCAAATAAATTTAATTAAAAAAAAACTTATTAAAAAGAAAAATCTATGGTAAGAAACAGCACAAAGAAAAAATGCTAGTTTTTTCGTTTTAAATAAACTCATTATTAAATTGTTAAGGTGAACATTTTTTGAAGTATATTAAAAAAATAATCTTTTTGGATTGCAATTATTTTTATTTTAAGTGTAAGAAATTTTATTTTATACGTTTTATTTTACATGCGTTTTGGTTTTTAATTTGATAAACTGTTTAAAACAGCAATAAAACAACATCGCGAAGATGTTTCATATTAGGGGTCATCCATAAAGTACGCACGCTAAAAATTTTGAAATTTAACCCCCTCTTTTCATGCGTTGCCATGCGTACTTCTAAGTCCTTCCCCCCTAAAAAATATGTATGTTTTTGAAATACCCCCTTCCCCTAAGTTTTTTATTTAATGAAAAGGTTTATGGAAAAAAAAGAAGATGTATTAATGTATTATCAGGTTTGAAATAAGGATACTTTATACGAAGATACTTTATACGACCCAAAAGCTCTTTGTTTGCGACACAGGATCCCAATTTAAAAAACATATATAAATAAATATGCAAATATTAATTTTAATATAGTTAAATTATACGAAATTAATGAGTTCGCTTGGTTGAGAGGTGAATGCTATGGACTGCGGCGACGGAGGCCTGTGTTCGATCCTCGGTCGAGCCACTTCAATAATATATTTAACTACACCTTTTCTGGATCAATTTAAAAAGGAATACGAATCAATTTAAAAGAAATAACTTTTTAAATGTTAAAAATATCTATTTATAAACTGTTATTTAAAAACAGCTATTTAAAAGCGTTTGTAGATAAAGAAAGTTAGAAGTTATTATATAATACAAAGATATTACATTTTTACTTGGCAAATATAAATATATGTTGGCAAAAAATATGTTTTTGACTTACAACTGTAACTTAAAAGTACCCTGTTGGAAACTTTTAAGTTATTGTTATAAAAGAACACATATTCCATTATGAAAATAAATCAAAAGTGTTGCTGATATAAATAGGTATAAATTTTTATTTTTAATGTAGGTTTTCAATTAAAAAATTTAAATTAGTTCAAAAAACTGTACTTACAGTTAACAGTTACAGTTAAAGAATTTTCAGAAATAATAAAATTTTTGTTTTAAAGAAATAATTTTATTTTTTGGCATAAATAGCTTACAAATAATATTGAATATTATTATTGTAATTTTTCATAAACCTTTGAACAAAACAAGCTTATTGGACTGTTACCGTAATCCAATCTTTCTTTTATGCAACTCATTTCTAGTATACAGCTGACCATATGAGTGTAGACACAATGTTAAATATTTTTCTATAATTTTTTTTAAAAGCTGTGAAGAATGCATGTCTTCAGTCAAAATCTCATGTTCTAAATCATGCATATTTAGTTCAGTAAACAGTGCGTCATTTGCAAATTTTTGATTTATAAAGTGCACCAGATAAGTTTTAAGATTTTTTTTAGAAGATATTTTCAAATTATGGGGGTCTGCCCCACACACCAAAACTTTAAAAACGTGCTCACATTTTTCAACAATCTTTAAAACACTACAGGATGGAAAGATTAAACCACCTCGATTTTTAAAATTTATAAAACTTTTCCATGATGAACTGCAAAATATAGAATACTCATGATCAGTGGATAAAGTCTTCGGAGAAATTAAACAATTGGCACAAGTCAGACATGTAATTTTACTATAAAGTTTTCTTACAATGAACCCTGCAATATATCCAAGTATAGCTTTTTTATAAATTGAAGTAGAGACTGATGAAAGACAACCAGCAAGGTTTTTAAAATAGTTAGAATCCTCACTAAAGTTGGAAATAAGTCCATCACATGTTATACTCCAAACATTCAGATTATGAGTAGCGCATAAATGTAAAGCATTTTTAATTAGACAACTTAAATCCGTTGAGAAAATTTTATCACACAATATGTAGCCTATAGGAAATTTCCAATGGCCTTTCAATCCAACAACCATAAAAACAAGTGCTTCTGTTGCTAATTTATCTGGGTCATAGGCTAGAATATTGTTTCCAAAACTAGAAAAACCTTCATATGATCCAATAACATTATCATACCGCAGAGCAGCCCTGATATGCATAGAATCAAATACTAATGCGCAATCTTTGTATGATGAATCCTCAAATGTTTTATTTTGTATAAACTTGAAAACATCTCCAAAAAACCCAGGCGAACAATTTACAGATGAGGTCCAGTTTGAAAGTGAGCTTACGGCAGGTAATGAGAATGTAGATTTAACAAATTCATATGCTCTTGGAGAAAAAAAGTGCAGTGTTAACGCAAATTTTTTAACTTCTCTAGAGTATCTATAACCTTTTTTTTTTTTTGCCTCTATTTTTTAATTCAGATTTCAAAAGTTCTTTAGTCAGTCCAGAGAAATTGTTCTCTAGTAATTCAGCAACATCAATGGAAATAATTTTTTTTTTCTCCAAGTTTTGAATAACTTTGCTAAGTGAAGCATTTTTTTTATCTTTTCATTTAAGCTTTTTTTTTAATATTTTAAACTTTTTTCTAAGTAATGGTTTTTTTGGAGAATTTTGTTTAAGTATTTTTTTCTTAATAGTATTAGTAACTTTAGGCTCTGTTACCTCTTTATTCGAGATAATGTGTGATGTATCATCATTATATAGCTGATTCCGCTTGTTATTTTTGTTCAATGATTCATGAAAGTCAAATATTGAAGGCACAATATTTTTTCAGCACACATTTTCCATTCTCTTGACACTCAAAATCTTTTAATTTAAAATGTTTACTGCAGATTCTACTATGTTTACTAGGTGTAATTTGTAAACATTTAGTTGCTGTTGCCCATTTTTTACATAAAATTTCATAATTTAAAGGGAATCTGTGAAAAGAATTTAAATAAAAGGGATATAAATAAAAAATTCAATTACAAGATATAAAATATTCGCAAAAACTTTGTTGAATATATTCTATTATCAGGATTGAGGTAGCATTGGACAATTTTCATCGGGCGTATGAATGGGCGCATTTGGACGTACTGTGCGTTTCTTAACAATCTTATCGGCAAATTAAATTATTAATATTAGAAAATGAAACAAATTTGAAAACGGTGCGCTATGAAAAGAAACGCGAAAGATGTATAAAAGAAGAAAATTTAAAAATTGCAGTAAAACTTGTTTTTAATAAAACAATAAAAGTAAGAGAGGCTACAAGTGTATTTAGGTTCTTTAAAGTTACATTAGCGTCAGAATAAAATTGCTTTGAAATAATAAAAAATTAAAAAGTAATAACTTTTCCACCAAGTATTATATTTCCACATTCAAACTTGATTGAATGTTGTTTTTTTTAATTGGGTTACAAGAAAACTTTGATTCATTGTTATCTCAATCTATTTTACATTCACACTCTTTAATTTATTATCATTTAAAGTTAATATTTTTGTATTAATGAGATTAATAGGTTATTAAATAGTTTTTTTCATTTTAGTTTGTTTGAATATAATATATGAGAAAATTATCTGATGGTTTGAGATTTTTATAAGAATAATGCTTTTTTAGAAATAACTCTCTTAATTCTGCTATTTTTTACAATTACTATAATTACTAATTATTGTTTATTATTACTGCTCAATAAAAAAAAAAAAGAAATTTTAATAAACATTTTTTGTCTATTTTTTATATTTCCTAAACTGCCCAAATGTCGTCCTGAACTACCCTCTTTTGTGGAGCAATTTTGAACAATTTGTAACTTCGTTTTTAAGGAAAAAAAGCAGCTATTTAAACTAGATGGGTTTTGTTTTGTTTTGTTTTAAACTAATATCTAAATTATTAAAACACCTTCTATTGTTTTATAAAGCAATACAGTATTTTATTTTCGGCTTTATTGTCATACTAACGCCTTCATGACTTACATACAAAAAACAAATGTCGTTTTATCAAAATGTTCTTCAACTAAAATAAATAAACAAAGACAAAAGGAAAAACGTAAAGAACGAAAGGCAAAGAAATCGTAGCAAAAACTTATAATTAAAAAAAAATTGCAA